GCAAGTCAGAGATTGAAAATTCTTGACGGGAGCCTGCCAGCAGGTCTCGGTATGTTGAGGTGTCAATAGGAGAAAGACGTTTGTCTTACTCGAAATTTTCCAAACTTTCTTGTAATTCTGAAATTTTTAAAAACTCTCTCGTAGTGCCGAATGTTCTTCAATGTTACTGTGGTAAAACTTTCGTATACTGAAAAAGAGAAAAATTTAATCGAGTTTTTAACTACAAACTGTCGCTCAGCAGAAAACTTTTAGGAGCTTATACAACTAAATGATAATGCAAAAAACTTCAAAAAGATAAATAAAGCTTTGCATGTCCAATAGTAGAATCAGAAAGTTCCCAGTGAGCTCCTTTTTCCGCTTTTTTCAGTCTTTAAATATCGCCTTTTCTCTTCTTTCTCGTTGATTTTGTGTCTCCCAAAGGAGAAAAAAAAAATTTTTTTTCAGAAATTCAACTCCTTCAGTTGTTCAGAAATTTGTAATTTTCCAGCTCCTGGTCTACTCGTGTTCAAGAAAAACTTAATCAATAAGTCCTAATTTGAGAAATACGGTTATACTGTCCTAAAAAAAGTGTTATTTTTTTCTTTTTTTACTTTTTTTACTCAAAATCACTGTAAAAATCAATTTTTCGCTACAATTTACAATGAATATAAGCGTTTTCCAAATAACTCACACAAAGAAAATTAATGATTAGATAATAAGAAGTTTTTTTAAGAGTTGTGTATCGATCTACACAAAATCATCATAAAAAAAGTATAGAGGGGACTTTTTAAAAAGTGGCGCCTCCAGCATTGGTGCATACACAGTTCACGCTCACGATCGTTTGCAGACATTAAACTCCTTTTGTCATCATTTTTTTTTTGTGTAGACATTCTGACATGAATTCATCACAGCATACTTTTTAGTGTTTTTCTATATGATATATCTCTTTCGTTTTCCTTATTTACCACTTCTGAATCATTTTCAACTTGTATTAAAAGTTGTTTAACATAAAATTATTCCATCTCGATCATTTATCGATTTTTTTACTTTCTTTTTTTGAACGAAGATTAAACATATTATTTTCAGCACACACTCATTTCTCTTGCGGCCGGCTTTTTCCATCTGTTCGTGAAAAAAATGGTGAGTTCAGTCCATTTCAATTTTTTTCTTTCAATTATCTTTTTTTCAGGTGTGCTCAAACTTGTGTTTTTAAGCTATAGGTTTTTTTAATTCATAGATAAAGTAGGAACAGTAGTCTGAAATAGTTTAAATTTTATTTTAGTTTCTTTATCAATTTCTAGTTTTTCAACCGTCGATCTCACATATCGGCAATTTTTCTCACCTGGGAGTTCAGATTAATATTTTTATTTCTCTCCCCAGGCATCCCAGTTACGGATTTTTTTTCCTAAATTTTTTTCTGTTCAATTCAGTTATCTGAAATTTTTTTTTCACCTGGGTGCAAGGCATGAATTTCATGCTTTCCTCAGGCCCCTGAACACTTTTTCCATTTTTTTGACGAGAAAGTGTTTTTTTACAGTTTAAAAAAACAAAAACCAGCAAATTTTTTTAACTATTTGTTAATCGAAATTTTTTTCAAAAAAATATTTTCAATAATTGAGTATGTTGTTTTAAATAGCTTGACTTTAAAATATTATGATCAAAGTGAGGTCAATGAGAAAATAATTAAAATTGAAATTAAAACACGAGCCGGCCGCGATAAAAACAGAGAGGAATGCACGAAAGTAAAGAAGAGAAGATGTACAAGATGGAAAGAAGAATGAAAAAGGACCAACAAATAACTATTTTACAATGTGAGTTTTTTTCTATTTGTCTCTCAAAAACAGGAATGCGATTCCACTCGAAATCAAAACGAGTCAACAGTGGCCGTCTAAAAAGACGCCAGGCGAAAAGAGTGTGACTCTTTTTCTGCCGTCTCTGAGACCATTTGTTCTCTTCTTGAATTCAAAAAAAAGTCCATCGAAATCAGTTTTTTTTACAGACAACTCAAAAAAAAAAGATTGGATCCAAAAATGATGTTTCCTCTCAGAAATCGACTCCGAAGAAATTGATGGGCAATAATTTGGATACCGATTTCCTGAGGGCTAATCACTCGATGGAAGATCAGGACCAAGTCGGAAATCAGGTGACAATTGTACTTCTTTGACTTGACTTTTTCAAAAAGCAACACTTTGGTTTTTGAAAATTTTTGAAGGTTTTAAAACCCCCTCCGACGGTCCCAAGGGTCGTAAAAAATTTTCCAAGATTGAAGGATCCTAACTACTTGGGAATTCCAGAGTGGTCCCTATAGGGGTTGAGGAAAAACAACCCCTACTTTAGACCCTAAAACTCAAGTAGACCCTATAGGGTCTTTTATTTTTTTCATTCAAAAAAGTGTTTTCACTATAAAAAAATTCTTTTTGCTTGGAGTTCATAACAATTATCGACTAGCTTGTCCCCTATAGGGGTTACTAACTAAAACCCCTATAGAGACCACTTTTGAAGCTTTAGGGATCCCTATAGGGGTCTTACAATTTCATTCAAAAACTATTGCCGGCAGAAGGATTTCTCCGGCCTGTTTTCTTAATTTTTTTCATCAAAAATATCCATTCCACTTCAGTTTTTGTTTTATGAAATTGTTTTTCAGAGAGACTTCGAAAGAGAAAGAGGCCAAGTGGGAATTTTTCGCGCGATTTGGGCTTTGAGGTAAGCTTGGTTTGTAAAAATTACATTTAAAAAAATTTAAACGTAGTATCATTTTTCAACCTCTGATCACAAATCTTCAGCGTTTAAAAAAAGGTCTTGCGAAATGTTAAGGGATGTAGAGCTACTGTAGATATTTCTCAAGATGCCGTACTTTTTGGGTTAACAAAGTCGATTTTTTTCCCGCTTTTTGGTATTCAGTTCTAAAAATTTCCGACTTTCAGTGCTCAACCAGGACCGAGTTATGAGTATCCAACGAACACGGACCATCACTCGGAAAAAGCGCATGGAGCGAAGAAGAAATTGAAGAAATTGAAACTGTTTCGGCTTTTTCGAAAACCCTTTGATCATAATCTTTTTAATGTCAAGCTAATAAAAAAACAACATACTCAATTGTTATAAAATGTTTGAAAAATAAAATAATTACTTCTGCGATTTTCTGCTACCTTCAAATCCTGTGTATTTGCAAATTGAAGCAAATTTCTGCAAAAAAATAGTTCAAGTCGAAGTGGATCCAAAACAGTGATTTTTTTAGTCCAAATGAAAAGAAGTAATTGAGGAATCTTAACAAAGGAATTTACCATGGGGGATTTCTCTTTTTTCCAAAGTAAACATAATTTTTATATCGTCACGGAAATTTCTTTAATTTTTGAACTTAAAAAACCACTTTCCATCCGGAAAAAGTATCGGTGAATCAGAAAGAGCTAAAGTTACGGAAGACGCATTTCAATGAAACGTTTCTATTTTTTTCCAATTTTTCAGTTCTCGTTTTCTCAACGAGTCTGCAAGAGTTGACTCACTTTCAAAACCCTAACTACTGCTCTTCTTTCAATTTCTTCCAAAGGTACGTTTCCATAAACGATAAACGGAGTTTCTTCCTTTGTCGGTCTGGTCTGGCGGCTTTTGAGGCCTGGAGTACACATAAGAACAGGCGCATCGCCATCTTTGCGCAATAAACTTTTCGGGTCAAGACGCCAGATGACAGGGTAATTTACACTTTGCGAAACCCTTTTTTTCTTGAAGGTATTTGGAATTCCGAATCCGGGTTGAACAGGGCCTTTGAGATCAAGGTGCGCCTCGGGCGACTGATTCGACGAGAAAAAATACGCCAATAATCGCCTTTGTCTGCTATATTTCATTCATCAAGAAATTAAAGAGAAAAAGACGTGAAACATCGGAACAAATTCATGAAAAATTGTAAATGGACGAAGTTCTATGAAAAAGAACTGAATATGCACATTTATTTTACGTCGTGAATACGCAATTATTTTTTTAAACTCGTAATCAGTTTGAACAAGTAATGGGCAAAAAAATCAGATCAGTTTACCGAGAACCATAACCTAAATGAGAGGTGAAATCAATAAATTGTATGAACTCTTCAGAGCTTTAACATAAGGATAAAAAAAGCTAGAAACTAGCAGTTCAATTATTTCTGAGACCTCTACACTGCTTTTGAACCTTGCGCCAATAATATCAAACTTTTTTGTGTCGCTGCGGACTCAACACCTGCGAACCTGCGAATATCCACGCCTTCCGATCGAAATAAGTTTATTTTGAAAAATTCCTGCAGTTTTCATACTGTTTTTTTTTCTGTGAATAGCCCTGAAAAGTTCGCTTAAAGGGGAACCCGCCAAAAAACAGCTACAGGGTGACAAATAAATATTCCACCTCTTCGAGTGCTTCCGGTCCCGTAAGCTTAACTTTGTTCAACAACTGCGCTCTGACCTTTTCCTCTCTCAACCCTCTTACGAATAACATTGTAACCATCATATCTAATAAATTTGTTACTTTGTCGAATTCGCAGTGTGTTGCGATCTTTCTTAATTCTGTATAGAATTCCTCTGCTGTTTGACCTTCTGTTTGGACAATGTTTAATAACTTCACTCTTTCTGCCAGCGTCAATTTCTTTGGCGTGTAACGCTTTCTGAGCAAAATTATCAACTCGTCGTACGACAGATTTTCTATAGGTTTATCAGACAGGGATTCTATTTCTGCGTAAACTGTGACACCTATTTCGCATACTAATATGCACGCTTTTTCCGTATCCACAGTTACTTTACGCATCTTCAGAAAATTGTTGAACATCTTCTCATATATTTCCCCTGACGTGCCCGGTACGTAGGCACCGGGTCCTTTCGTCAGGTATGAGTTTGATGACACAACAGGGTTTTCCGTCATTATTTCTTTCTTTTATTTAGTTAGTCCGCTTACTGATCGCCACTTTAATGTATCTTGTGCGTTATCAGAAAGAAGAGTACCCCACAATAGTTTTATTAACTAGGTGTGGTAAAAAGATGAAGTTGAGGAGAGACGAGAAGTCGTCAGTCCGAGGCTTGAAGCGACGGCGAGGCTGGAGGCGAAACGGGGGCGGTACGAGTGATGATGATCTGAGTTCCCGACTTCTTTTATACTCTTAGTTGGGATATCTCTCACGTGATCTATTATTTGATCACTATCAATTCACATATTCAACAGTAATGACGATAGAATCATTTTGAAGACGTCTAGAACCAATCCAAGACTCACCGCCCCTGCGATCAGACGGGAAGTTTTCTTGAATTCGCCATCTCCGCCATCCGTCTCGACCGTGAAACGACGTCTGAATGCTGCTGGAATCATGGGAAGACGTCCAGTGAAGAAACCGCTGATTTCTGAAAAGAATCGAGCCGGCAGGGTGAAGTGGGCGAAAGAGCATCTCAACTGGACCCGTCAAGACTGGAACAAGATTCTGTAGTCCGACGAAAGCAAGTTCCTCCTCTTTGGAAGTGACGGAATTCAGTGGGTTCATAGACCAATTGGGTCCAGATATCATCCGAAATACCAATTACCCACTGTGAAACATGGTGGAGGACCGTTTCGTCGGACCACAGTATCTTGTTCCAGTCTTGACGGGTCCAGTTGAGATGCTCTTTCGCCCACTTCACCCTGCCAGCTCGATTCTTTTCAGAAATCAGCGGTTTTTTCACTGGAAGTCTTCCCATGACTCCAGCAACATTCAGACGTCGTTTCACAGACCAGACGGATGGCGGAGATGGCGAATTCAAGAAAACTTCCCGTCTGATCGCAGGGGCGGTGAGTCTTGGATTGGTTCTAGACGTCTTCAAAATGACTCTATCGTCATTACGATCAGTGACACGTGGTCTTCCAGTGCGTTGGCTCTTAGTAGAGCCATCTTGAGCTTTTCAACGCTTTAGGAACTGAGAAACGCACGCCTCTGTCACGCCGAACATTCCTGCCAACGTCATCATGGTCAGTCCATTTTGACGACCCACAACGATGGCTCTTTTGTCGTTATCAGTCAAATCCTTTTTTCCAGAGGTTCTTCCCGGGTCTGAAAACAGGAAAAAAAGAACTCATGGCAACATTATTACTTTTTAAAAATTTAATAAAAATAAATAAAAAATAAAAGCATAAAAAAACATGAATTCAAAAAATTCCTAAAACGCGCCACAGTGATTGCGGACATGTATTTGTATACCGTATATGTTTCAAAGTATATTTTACATTATCCCTAAAAGTTATATATAAATCGGATAAGTACTCGCTGAGATATCCTCAAAAAACCAAAACTTAATACACTTTTGAGCGGTACTGTAGTTTTACACCGCATATCAAAAATCCCCTTCCATGCAATTTTTCATGGAGAAAAATAACCAGAAAAGTTGGAGAAAAATAACCAAAAAAGTTCTCAATCATTTCCGCTTCTTTGCTACAAACAACCCCTACAATTCGTATTTCTCTATCGAAAAAAAAATTCATGTACAGCTTCAGAGATGGAATTTGCTACTAAATAGTAACGGAGGTACTTCAAACGGATAGCCTCGGTCCTGACAGAAAAATAAATTAAGGCGAACGTTTTTTGCTGTCCTCCTGATATAAGATGCAAAGGCGCGAAAGCCACCGCGAGTCGGGTGAAAGATTTGGTGGGGTCGGAAGTTGTTTAGGCTCATTTGCTAACGCAACCAATAAAGATCCTTAACCGGAAGGCTTGGACTGCTGCCTCCACGCGGCGCCTTCTGGGTGAGACGCGGTCTCAGCAGAATGCAGTCCATTTTTGGTTAAGCCAGCCTGGCAAAATGATAATACAGAGAAAGGAAAATCTTTTCCAATTTTCCGAATTTTAAGTGAATTTTCATGTGACAGGTTCTCAAGACTTCTTAGAAGCACAATGAAAGATCCTTACTTTGCAGATTGTCGTTGTTGGGCGACAAGAGGTGGACCGAATATAAATGTTTCGGGTCAAAACAGTTGTTCCTGTTTCTCTCTAGGCCTTGAACTACCGTAAATGCGATCCCGTACTCAGTCATTTACTGAATCTTCATACCTACCATGTTATCTGCTAATTTATCGCGTTTCTATTCTCTGCTTGCCTGTCAGGAAATCCAAAATTCTTTCATTTTTCAGAACTTCGCTTCGGTCACCGAAACTTCCACGCAACTTTCGTCAAACTCTGCAAAGGCACGTGATTTGAATGTTTCAAAATAGTTAAAGTAAAAAAATAAAAATAAGCATATAAAATAATGGTTAACCGCATTTCGTTTGCTCAAAGTCTCGGTTTATGCAAAACCAAAATTTCAAACGTTAGCCTACGGGGGTTGCTTTGCGTCAGGTTCACTTTCAATCTAACGTCTCAGAGCTGTTCAATGACAACTAACAGAGAAAATGCTGGAGAAACCTCTCACAATGAACATATTTTGACCGGAAGGCTGGGATAGTCACAGGTTTTGACTCCTCAACGGCGGATAAAAGTTTGATCTTTTTGGCGCGAGGTTCAGAGGCAGTGTATATCCCGCTCACTGCTTGCTTGGGACAGCGAACGGGCGGTTTAACTTGCGTTTTTCCCGTTCGCTGTATCAAGTCAGCCATAAACCGGCTATAAACGTTTCGGAGAAGATTGAATTTTTCGCTTCTGTTTTTTCATCTCTTATTTTTTTTCCCTAAACAGTTTCTATAACTTTTTGAACTCAGCTCGGTCATAGTTTGCAATGTTTTTTTTAACTGATCGCGTACCTGCCCATAACCTGTTGCAAGTGATAAGAAGTTTAAAAATTTGTTGGGGAAATTGATCTATTTGCAACTTGCATGAACTTTTTCGATTTTTTTCAACTTTTTAAATTCATTTTCATTCTTTTGATGGATGAAATTTTTGCAGATATAGGATATATTGGCGTTTTTGTCTATCAGTTGCCCTGGGCGCATCTCGTTCTCAGAGGCCTCGCTCAACTGGGGAGCGGAACTCCAGAAGACTTCACGAAAAAGGTTTGATTTTCTACCGATATCGTTTGCTGAATAATCTGTGTGAGACATTGTAGATGACTTTGTCTACTTTACGCTGAGAATCTCAAAATGTGTTCTCCAATTATTTTCCCCTCTCTAACTCATCTACATAATAACCTAGAGTAAATGGATAAGTGGCGCGCAAACGGACAAATTGAGATTGCTGTCGGAAATACTATTAACCTTTTTTTCCGCAAACATAATTTTCTTTTAGATTACAGTCTTCGTAACAACTAAGTTTGCACTGTTTCTATGATAGAAAACCTCGAAGTTACCTTAACAAATCCTTTGTATTCCTCTAAGCACGTTACGGAGAGCGTAAATGAATTTTATTTTGTTTTTACTTGAACTGTTTCAGGGTGTGCATAAAACCCATTTTTGATTTTTACTCATTTATTTTTTGTCTTCTAGATATTCTGAATATGAAATTACCGGAAAGAATCCGAAAAATCTTTTTTCATCGCGTCTGTGAAAGTTTTATAGAATGAAAATTCCACACCTGTTGCCTTTCTGATAATAAGTACTTTTTTTCTGTCTTTTCGCAAAACACGGAAAGATATCAAAAATCTGTAAGTGCCATTCGATTCAGAGTACAAAACAACCTCCAGAGCCAAACTTTGTTCTAGCACTTTTTCTACGAAAATGCCATCGAAAAAAAGGTTTTTTGGTATTTTTTGGTCAATTTCTTTTCTTGATGAGTGGTTTTTTTGTTCTCATATTATTTGCTACCAAGTTTTCTACGGTTTCCTTCTCATATATTCCAGGTTTAAAAAAATATTTTATATCGAAAAATAGGGAAAAATGACGTTTTTTTGAGTTTGCATCAAAATATTCGAGCGATTGATTTTTCCAGTACTTTGAGTAAACTTATCCTTTTAAAAGAGACATTTAATCATTCAGAAAAACAAAAAAAAGGTTTGAAAAACACTACTGCCGTCGTTTTCGACCGTTTATCTTTCTGTATGTAGTCGGAATGGCGGTGTACTTTTTTTAAAGGGTTTCTGAAAGTGCTCCAACCCCAAAAAAGACACTTAGTTGGATTGCATGAAAATTGGCGATCCTCACGAAGCAAAAACACCCTTCCGACTGATATTCGAACTGTTTGAGGTACATATAAATAAATCATATAAAAAAAGTTTTAATTCTAATGAAAAATTCTTTTGTTGCACGTTCTCATTAAAGCTTTTTTTTTGACAAACTAAAAATTCGCGGAACGCTCTATTTGAAACAATATCTTCGATGAACGCGGGTACCAGTTTCTCTCCACATTTTCTAGGCATTCTACGTAGTAAATAAAACTTTTTTCGTGTCCAACGGCTCCGACGGTTCAAACGACTCCGATGTCTGCGATGTATCCAACGGCTCGAACGCCTTTACCGGTAAAAGCGGCTTGAACGTCTCAAACGCCACCGAAGGAAGGTTCAAACGGCTCCGACGACTCCAACAGCTCCAAGGTATCTACGTAATAAATAAAATTTTTAGATTTTCTTGTTGGTGAGTTATGTTCATAGCACCTTCAAAATTCTTTCAAAACCGGTATACCGCCAATCCAACCACAAACAGAAAGAAAACGGTCGAACACGACGGCTGTCTGAAATTTGGTCACGATACATCATCTTGTAACTGGTTTTCTAACTATTAAACGAATTTTCTCGAACTTCTCTGAATGTTGAACTGTTTTTATTAATCAGATAAGTTTACTCAAAGTACTGCAAAAAATTACTCGTTCGAATATTTTGATGCAAACTCAAAAAACGTCATTTTTCCCTATTTTCGATATAAAATATTTTTAAACCTGGAATATATGAAAAGGAAACCAGAAAACTTGGAAACAAATGATATGAGAACAAAAAAACCACTCATCAAAAAGAGAAATTGACCAAAATAATACCAATGAAAGTCAAAATTTCCAAATGGTCCTATCCTTATTGAACGGTCGAAAAACCGTTTTTTCGATGGAATTTTCGTAGAAAAAGTGCTAGGATAAAGTTTGGCTCTGGGGGTTATTCTGTACTCTGAATCGAATGGCATTTACAGATTTTTGATATCTTTCCGTATTTTGCTAGAAAGGAAAGATCGAAAACAGCAGAACTCATTTTTCCACATGGTGTTGTAATTGAGTTAAAAACTTTAGCAGAATGCTAAAAACAACATTCTTCGAAGCTCCAGTAATTTTCAGAATGATTGAACCCCTTACAAGAAAGTTTCTGACCGAAAACCCCTGTGTAACTTCTCTGAGGATACAGCATCAACTCTACAACAGTTCCCTTTTTGTTCGAATTCAAAAAATGGCCAATTTATGTAACGCTGTCTTGTCTCAGCACCAAAATCTGATTAAAAAACTAATTCTCAAATTCAGTGATCTTGGTCGGGATGGTGATAGCATCACCTCGATCGACGTTCGAAACTGTGCGTCTCTTCTTCCGGCGACCCAACCTCGCGAAAGGAAGAAAAACTAACGCGAAAGAGGACATGGTGGTGAGTTGCCTCCCTAATCTTTATTTACAGTATAGAAATGAAAAGGAAATGTTGAACTTGATTATTCATACATCTCGGCAGACTGGAAGTCCATTCTCAGCTTAAATAGAGCTTTTTGAATGTGACTGATGCGACGAAAAATAAAGTAATTACTAAGAAATAAAACTTTTATTCCAGTTTTCCAATCAAAGATACTCATGTTGGCTTGGCAAAACTTTCTTTTTCTTAGTTCATTGTTCATGCTGAATTGATAGATTTGGTCATTGAATATAGGAGCTATTTTCAGCGGATAGACTGCAGGCGGAAGTCTACAGAAAGAGGTTGCCCGCGAGGAAGAGCCCGACAGCGACAAAGTGTCGCGGTCGCGGGAGCTGTTGGGGAGCATCGAACTCTCGATGTCTCCTCGCTACGTGTTCTCGTCGGGCAAAGGACCTGACAGCGATGTTCGTCAGGATGGTGATTTGTCACCATTTACAGTGCTCAAAAGTGAGTTCTTGCTCGGTTCGGTGATTGAAAAATGTAGAGATCAATAAATTTGAAGTTGAAAAGGGGATTATTGTAAAACGTTTTTTTCAGATATGTTGGTCGGGATAGTGATCTCACCGCACAAAGCTTTGTGAAAGCGGTCAAAGTCGTCCTCGAAAGATGTGAAGTGCTTCCGCGCATCGTAATCCATCGCTCGGGATTCAACGATGAGAAGTTAGCGGAGTGAGTCTTTTAGCATCGAACATAAAGAAAAAGGAGCATTCGAAAAAATTTTTCACTCATTCATCTCCAAAAAAAGTATCAACTGTAATACAGCTGAATTGCCTTCTTTCTCAATATTTATGCATTCAGGCGTTCATTTCGACCGCCATCGCCAAAGCTCTCAGGGACGAGAACATGCCGCGGATTCATGGCTTCTGATTCCAACGTCATAGAAACATCGGTCTGGTGAGCTTTTTACCTAGAAGGATTTTCAATTAATTTTCATAATTTCAGGTATGTTTTTTTGATATGGTGATTCGCGAAACGAACGGCGGAAAAAGCTTCTCGCTCATCCCGTTATCCTACGGAGCAGAGAATCCAAAGTGAGAACTTTTCTCATTTTTTTGAGCCTTCTGATTCTTTTTCAGTTACCGGAACCTTCTCAACGGTCATACAAAGGCTGTGAGATTTCCAGAAAGTAACACAGGGGCAAACGCAGTAATGTTGATTGGGATGGTGGTAACTCACCTTGAACGGTCTTCGAGAAGATAAGACAGGTAAAATTAAAAGTTTCTCAATATTCAAAAAAAAAAGAAACACTTTCAGAAATAACTTCTACAGACATGTTGGACATGATGGTGATGTCACATCTAAAAACGTGAAAAAACGGAAGGCGTAAGCATCTTTTCGCAATTTCGCAGATTGAATTTGATTTTTCAGGTAGAAGCGAGAGCTCATAATTAGAGCGCGCCGAGACACTTGAAGATTTTCTTCAATTGAAAGACAAAACCGCGTGGAGGAACGTGAAAAAAACGGACACCTAGGAGGATGTCGGGAAAAAGAATTTGACCGATGCTTTTATTTTCTTTTTTTATTGGTCAGCAGTCCGCACGTCCTGAGTTACGTGTTTTTTCCGTATCAATAGTTCTTCAGCACGCCAATAAAGAGCGTGCAAAAGTATTAGAAGTTTTCAAATATGGCAGTTCTAAACCTTGGAGATAATTTGTGGATGTTCTGAAGGCGTAAGGTTGTGTAGTTTACATGAAGACCCCCATTTCATCAATTCTGTGTTTGTATGTCTCCCTCTCCCTAGAAATATAAGAATTGTTCTACTATAAGGGTTTTTTTCTTGGATCCTGGCTATGACTATTAAATAACAGAACTTTTTTAAATTTCACTTTTGTTTCCAAATCCCACAATTTTTCAATTGTTTCTACATTATTTTGCTTTTTCGAAATGAATAAATTACTTGACTGATAAAAAAATTATATAAACGGTAAAAATTTCTACAGAAAAAAGCAATACGTCAACGAAAAATTCAAAACGAACAAAACTTTTTCAAAAAAAGTAATCATTTGAGGTGTTCCAGTGAAAAAAATCTAATTTCTCAATTTGAAATAACTGAAAAGAAATACAAGAAGAAAAAGATGGAAGGAGATCGAAAATTTTCAGCCGTCGAAACGACATCGATCCAGTAAACGGAAAAGCTAATAACGAAGGTTCAAAAATTCGGCGCGGAAAAAATTCAAGTGATACCATATAATAAAATCGTGAACTCGGGTTTTACAAAGGAAAAAAATCTTCTTCAAAACTGTCCGAAAAAATTGAAAAACTTTCTCAATTTGCTCTTTAGAGACTCAAGAAAATGAAAACTCTCCAGAAAAATGACCAAATCTCCATTCTTGCCAAGAAACCAGTCCAGAGGTTATTTTTAAATTGTTCACGTAATTGATGGCGTCGTTGAAAGCTGCAAAGATCGTGTCGCTGGACGTTGTCGGGTTGTCGAACGTAGAAGATTGAGATTGAGAAAACTTCTGAAAAACGGTTCAAGTTAAGTTGAAAGTATAAATTCGTGAGTGAACTATTTTTAAAGATGATTTTGAAATTAACTGCGATTTCATTATTAATTTTTCATAATTCCCTGTTTGAGAGTATAATCGCTTCCGAAATAACAAACAAAAATAGAACGATTTGACGTCCGTTTTCCAATCTTCAAAAATCATAATATTCCAGTAAAATTCATAAAAAACACGTTTTCTAGCTTTCATGAAACAATAAAATAAGTACCCCGCCTGTTCTGTATCTCTCTCAGAACCAGAAGTTTTACTGGCGATTTTCGTCTCTTAGGATGTTACAAGCATCTGTGACTTGCGGTGGGATAAACTTCTCGCTCACCCCCATCCGCTTTCAACAAAAGCAACCAATAGTGTGAACTTCTATCTCTTCTTTAAGCCTTCTGATCCTTTTCCAGTTACGGTCTTACAACGGCTGTGGGACTTTTAGAAAGGAACCCAGGGGCAAACGCCGTAATGTTGATTGGGATGGTGATCACGCACCTTGAACGGCCTTTGAGATGATAAGACAGGTAAAATTAAAAAGTTTCTTCATTTTCGAAAAAGGCATTCAGAAAAATAACTTTTTACAGACACGTTGGACAGGATGGTGATTTTACACCAAAAATGAGGTGCAGAGAGCGGAAGTCTTCCTTCTCGGGTAATTTGGATCACGGAAAAGAAATAGGTTGAGAATGGAATTTTATTATTAAATAAAAATGGAGAACTACTTATTACCGTGCTGAAAAACTATTGACTTCTGGGCCCTGGTTGAGTTCGTTTTACCCTGACGTCCTCCGCGTCTGTTTTTTTCCACCTTCCTCCACCCTATGCTGTTTTTCAATTGAAGAAGATTCTTCGAGAGTCTCGGCGTGCTCTAATTATGAGCCTTCGCTTCTACCTGAAAAATCAAATTCAATCTGCAAAATTGCAAAAGATGCTTACGCCTTCAGAACATCCTCAAATTATCCCCACCGAGCAGAAATGTCTCAGTTGAAAACTTCATATACTTTCGACGCGCGCTGTATTACCGTGCTGAAAAACTATTGACTTCTGGGCCCTGGTTGAGTTCGTTTACCCGACGTCCTCCGCGTCTGTTTTTCCACCTTCCTCCACCCTATGCTGTTTTTCAATTGAAGAAGATTCTTCGAGAGTCTCGGCGTGCTCTAATTATGAGCCTTCGCTTCTACCTGAAAAATCAAATTCAATCTGCAAAATTGCAAAAGATGCTTACGCCTTCAGAACATCCTCAAATTATCCCCACCGAGCAGAAATGTCTCAGTTGAAAACTTCATATACTTTCGACGCGCGCTGTATTACCGTGCTGAAAAACTATTGACTTCTGGGCCCTGGTTGAGTTCGTTTACCTGACGTCCTCCGCGTCTGTTTTTTTCCACCTTCCTCCACCCTATGCTGTTTTTTTCAATTGAAGAAGATTCTTCGAGAGTCTCGGCGTGCTCTAATTATGAGCCTTCGCTTCTACCTGAAAAAAATCAAATTCAATCTGCAAAATTGCAAAAGATGCTTACGCCTTCAGAACATCCTCAAATTATCCCCACCGAGCAGAAATGTCTCAGTTGAAAAACTTCATATACTTTCGACGCGCGCTGTATTACCGTGCTGGAAAACTATTGACTTCTGGGCCCTGGTTGAGTTCGTTTTACCCGACGTCCTCCGCGTCTGTTTTTTTCCACCTTCCTCCACCCTATGCTGTTTTTTTCAATTGAAGAAGATTCTTCGAGAGTCTCGGCGTGCTCTAATTATGAGCCTTCGCTTCTACCTGAAAAATCAAATTCAATCTGCAAAATTGCAAAAGATGCTTACGCCTTCAGAACATCCTCAAATTATCCCCACCGAGCAGAAATGTCTCAGTTGAAAACTTCATATACTTTCGACGCGCGCTGTATTACCGTGCTGGAAAACTATTGACTTCTGGGCCCTGGTTGAGTTCGTTTACCCGACGTCCTCCGCGTCTGTTTTTCCACCTTCCTCCACCCTATGCTGTTTTTCAATTGAAGAAGATTCTTCGAGAGTCTTGGCGCGCTCTAATTATGAGCCTTCGCTTCTACCTGAAAAAAATCAAATTCAATCTGCAAAATTGCAAAAAGATGCTTACGCCTTCAGAACATCCTCAAATTATCCCCACCGAGCAGAAATGTCTCAGTTGAAAACTTCATATACTTTCGACGCGCGCTGTATTACCGTGCTGGAAAACTATTGACTTCTGGGCCCTGGTTGAGTTCGTTTACCCGACGTCCTCCGCGTCTGTTTTTCCACCTTCCTCCACCCTATGCTGTTTTTCAATTGAAGAAGATTCTTCGAGAGTCTTGGCGCGCTCTAATTATGAGCCTTCGCTTCTACCTGAAAAATCAAATTCAATCTGCAAAATTGCAAAAGATGCTTACGCCTTCAGAACATCCTCAAATTATCCCCACCGAGCAGAAATGTCTCAGTTGAAAACTTCATATACTTTCGACGCGCGCTGTATTACCGTGCTGGAAAACTATTGACTTCTGGGCCCTGGTTGAGTTCTGTTTACCTGACGTCCTCCGCGTCTGTTTTTTTCCACCTTCCTCCACTCCTATGCTGTTTTTCAATTGAAGAAGATTCTTCGAGAGTCTTGGCGCGCTCTAATTATGAGCCTTCGCTTCTACCTGAAAAAAATCAAATTCAATCTGCAAAAATTGCAAAAAGATGCTTACGCCTTCAGAACATCCTCAAATTATCCCCACCGAGCAGAAATGTCTCAGTTGAAAACTTCATATACTTTCGACGCGCGCTGTATTACCGTGCTGGAAAAACTATTGACTTCTGGGCCCTGGTTGAGTTCGTTTACCCTGACGTCCTCCGCGTCTGTTTTTTTCCACCTTCCTCCACCCTATGCTGTTTTTCAATTGAAGAAGATTCTTCGAGAGTCTTGGCGCGCTCTAATTATGAGCCTTCGCTTCTACCTGAAAAATCAAATTCAATCTGCAAAATTGCAAAAGATGCTTACGCCTTCAGAACATCCTCAAATTATCCCCACCGAGCAGAAATGTCTCAGTTGAAAACTTCATATACTTTCGACGCGCGCTGTATTACCGTGCTGGAAAACTATTGACTTCTGGGCCCTGGTTGAGTTCGTTTACCCGACGTCCTCCGCGTCTGTTTTTTCACCTTCCTCCACCCTATGCTGTTTTTTTCAATTGAAGAAGATTCTTCGAGAGTCTTTGGCGCGCTCTAATTATGAGCCTTCGCTTCTACCTGAAAAAAATCAAATTCAATCTGCAAAATTGCAAAAAGATGCTTACGCCTTCAGAACATCCTCAAATTATCCCCACCGAGCAGAAATGTCTCAGTTGAAAACTTCATATACTTTCGACGCGCGCTGTATTACCGTGCTGGAAA